AAGTATTGGCGTTAAAAGGTGAACCTACTCAGCATTACCATTTGATCGGAATTAATATCATCAACATCATAATAAAGAATATAAAGAACATCAGTTCCGAATAACAGGACTGCAGCAATTAATTAATTAATAGCCTGGGTGACGAGGAATGCGCTCAAACGACTTCGGTGCGCTTTTTCGAACAGCCTAATAGGCAGGCACACAAATGTGACGTAGTGTAAGTTTTTTTCCCTTACGAGAATCATCTTAAAGCATGCATTAGAAGATATAAAGAACTGGATTGTGAAGCTTGCTGTCCGTGAGGAGAGGACTATGACTCTACCATGTGTGTCCCTTATTCAGAAAGACAAGCGAAGTAAATGTTCTAGAGGCATGTGCCGACGCGAAACCTACCCCTCATAGATGGTGTGTTCCACCTCACGGCCGGTTTTGTAGAAGTCCTGGACGTGAGACAGGCCATTGATGCAGTACTCCAGGTCTAGAGGGCATGAGTTAATAATAAAAAAATAGAAGGATCACTTTTTATTCTATTTTGAAGTTGTTCAACCTCTTTGTTCAGTGGTTGTAGGCCGTCATGAAATCGTTTTGCGGTTTCAATCATGCCAGACAACTTCTCGTCTGACTGTCCGGACACTTCGACAAACTTGTCCCGGAGACTTAGAATATGATTCATCTGTGTGCGAATCTGAAAAAAAATGAACGAAGAAAAGAAGGATGACTCTGACTGAACGTCCAGGCTGTTCCGAGCTCTGGGCTGAACGAAAATGGGAACCCTATAAATTTACTTGACCTCTGTTTAGGACGTGGGAGGGATTATGGTGAGCTGTTATATCTGTCTGACAGAAAAAGCACAAGAGTACTTTTTTAGTTATGAGTTTTAAATGTATAAGTCAAACTTTAAAAAAATAAAAGAGGTGAGTTAATGTCCCAAACTGTATAAAGGACCTAACGACTACAGACTTTTGTTGAAAACACTGACGACGAGAGTATTAAATGCATTAATCGGGTAGCATTTTCGGCCGCGATTGTTCTTTGACTATCACCCCGTGAATACGCAAACATGTACCGAAAAGAGGTGGTTGCACTGTACAGATCACCACAGCTTAAATGGCGATAAGGTCAGTGTAACCCGATTCAACCAGCTGTCGCTTGCCTCCAACTGGGACACCATCAAAACTACGTGGGATACCACCACAAGGCGCCGTTTAACAAGCTGGACGACAGAATACAGACCTGTCGAGCGTCCGTCGGAATATCTAAGGACTAGGAAAGATTGTGGTGGACGAGAACACGGACAACGGTGAAGCGATAGTATTTCCTGGTCATTATTATTCCCAGTATAACGCCTAGTTTAATTACCAACCACAGTAACCCAAGATAGACGGCAGAAAAGGTTGGGCCGATGGGTGTTGGCTGCCGGTAAACATGGCTGATTTTGGAAGTGGGCCGCAATATAAACTGTTTTTTTATCGTTTTAGTCACACAAACTTGGAAACCGATTTGATTAGATTTCGTGCAGGAGTCTCAAACATTTGAAAGTAATCTGAGAAAGACAACGAGGAAGACCTCCAAAGCGGCGCGAAAAAAAACTCATGCAGCAATAGTTCTAATACTTTTCTTATTGAGAAGATTAGATCGCTGGAACAACACTTTTATTCGCCTAACGTTCCGACATCCGTCGCGGATTCTTCATCAGAGACATAAGCAGAAAGCAGTAGCAGAAACCTACTTTACCTTATCTCCTTTCGAAAAGGCAGATACAGAAGTGCCCAAACCCCAGTTATGAGCAACTAGCTCACCTCCCAAGCCTGCTCAACCACCTTACAGATGCATAGCGTCAGACAGTCGATACAATAATTATTAACTTCAGAGGGAACACGTGTAAGAGTCTGCTGCCCAGCGCAACTGCGCTGACTCACGCTGCTTTCGTTCGCCAAGCCTCGCACGCTCGCTGTCAACTCGCGGCGCGTACGCTCGAAGGTAATCGATACCTTCGCCTCGGCTGATTGGCGGCAGCCGACAAAGCACTCATCCCGCAGCCGAAGCTTCACACATGCACACAACTTCGCGGACATACCTGGCGTGCAAACGCAGCTGGCAGC